GCTTCAAAAGTGGTGCGGCGACGCGTTTTTTTATTTCCCTCACTTTTTTTGCTAGAAATGATGTACACACACATGCGCTTTAGAACACATATCTGTGCTGTAGTGCTGAAATAAACCGACCTCTCACTATTTACTATTTAATGTATTTCTGCTTTTATATGTACGCAGGACATAAGACTGTCTCCATTCTCTGGTTCCCAGATGTAAATGTATAATACAGAAATGACGTCATCTGAAAAAGAGTGCCGACGAAGTATAAGGGGGCTCAGAAGGACTCCTGTACCGTACATATTACTCAACCATACCCCATACGATAGACGTTAAAATTACGCAGTAGCAGGATTCCAGTCGATCAAGCAAGATTGGCAGCTTTTGGGCATCGTGTTATATTAAAGAAAAAAATCTTTATTTTGCCGACGCGCAGGTCTACGGCGACCAGAAACCGGAGACTTTTTTTGCCTTGGTACTTGCATTCGGTAAAGCTGAAAATTGATTTTTTACTGATCAATATTGCTGTTAATAGAGTAAACCCTACACCATGAAGCAGTTTAGTCTAAATGCCACAATGCTAAAAATTATAACCAAATGATTTATTTTTGACCAATGAAACAGCTTGCTCGTTCTCAAGCGATGGTTCAAAGATGCACTTCACGTTGAAGTCGAGGCCACTCAACATACCGTTCTGCTTGGATTTTGAGGTTAGAACCTCAAAAGGTGCATTGATAGGTCTGGCAGAAAACAAGACGGATGAGACCATCTTTGCCGAAATAAGTAAGTCTTTAGTTTGATTTCACACATTCCTAACGACTGACTGATGTCAGGCTTGGCTTGAAAATGTCACGATTATTTCGTTTTTGAATTAATTTATTGAGTGTTAAGTATTGCAGAAATCATTGTCGTAAAAAGAAGTTAGTTTGGACGACTTTGGCACAAAAAAGGTACTCACAACATATAGGGTGCGACACTTTATAATTTATCTGTCAAGAATCGCAACCAACAAGTTTATCGATATTGTGAAGAATGCCAACTTTGTCTCTACCCTCAGATTGAAGGTATTCCAGTTACTGATGCGCAAATATACACCTAAAAGTTTTCTGCGTTTTCTATACCTTACGAAGCAACGCTTTGCATGGGTACACAAGCTAAACTAGGTCGAGGAGATGATAGTTTACATATTCAGATCGATAACACTGCTATTCATAATGTTACCCAGTTGAAGTATCTAGGTGTGTGGCTGGATAGAATCATCAATAGACTTGTTAAAAAAGCCAATAAACAGAAGATTGGAGGTGTACCTGTTGTACAAACCTTTACTCTGCCTCAATTTAATTATTTTGATGCTGGTTGGGAACATTCCTCAAAAATGGTCCTCACCAGGCTTGAAATAATAAGAACAGTGCTGGACGAGTTATTCTTGGTCTTCCATGGAGAACCCAGAGCGTGTCTTATCGACATTAGAATGGACAACCTGAGAAGAAAGGCGTACTTTTCATTTAATATGCTAGAGACAGTATTTTCATATTATTTCCTCACAGCTGTGAAACAATCCCATCAATGCCCTACTAAGTGTTTCAGATGGCCACTGCCTGAAAATGTAACTAGTTTTGAAAACAGTTACAAAGCTTTGCCTTTATAATGCTTGTGTGTATGGTGGTTGAAGAAATTGACTTATTTTTGATGGTCTTCTAATGTAAATCGGTACATGGTGGATCATTTGTCTTCATATTTTGTGTGTTTTAATTGCATTGAATTACTTATTGCTATCTGTATATTATACAGTCGAACCTCTCTTGGTCCTCGTGCTTAAAACACTTATAATAAATTAATTAAAAGAAAATACAGATTTCCTCCAAAAATATTCTCAACGAAAATAAATGAAAACAAAATAAATGTAATTAAAAAGAGTTGATTAGTAACTTATTAAATACATTTAGCAATTCTATTATTGACGGATGCCAACGAGCTTCCTATAACCATCCCATTATTTCATTCCATTTGATGCTCTCATTCCAGTTGGGTAGTAGCTTTTCGCAATCTTTCTGTTTTACTTTAAATAACCCGGTAACGCTTCCCTGACCTCAACAAGTCAAAGAGCTCAAATGCTGGATGGGAATCGTCATTGGAAGATCCTTGCCAACAAAGCCCGAAGCTGTTCTAACAACTCTTTCCAGTGCATACCATTAAGCCCTTGTCGTATAGGCCTATCCGTACCTTACAGTGACAGACTGCGTTAATGCAATTTCCACTACCGCAAAATAGAACTTGACAAGCAAATTACTACTTAAGTGAAAACTCTTCTGACGTCGGAGATAAATCATCCGTTGTTGAGCTTTCCTGACACAATGCTCGACATGGACACCCCATCATAAACTGTTCGACAAATGAATACCAAGAAATTTAAAATAATCCTCAGTTTCCACATCTGCATCATTAATGGCAACATGAGAAATTTCACTCTGTCTTGGTCAGAAATCAACAATTATCTCCTTTGTCTTTGTAACGTTAGGATTCAAGTTGTCAGAGCGCCACTATGTCAAGAGATGAAGTTCGTTACGATAATTATGTTCCTTGTCGTCTTTTACAGTTATATCATCGGCGTATTTTCCAATTGTACAATCATCAAACGATGCCATACAATAATAAGTGTTTTAGTGTCCAAGTCCAATAATTCAGTCTGAAACATGGAAGAATATCCTATGTCACAATCACTCCCCAACTTTGATAAGTATTCACACTTTCCAGTTGGAAAAATTATAGTCGCTCTTGTTCACCAGTCAAGACTGTTTTGCAGTGTTTACTTGTAAGAATACTTCAAAATTGTTCGTATGTATCAAATAGAGCAAAATTGTTTTCATCGGAATGTGCACTTCTTTGAAGTAACTAAGGCCAAAATTCCCAATTTTTACAACGACTTTAGACTTTACACTTTATTATATTTGTAAACTATGCCTATACACTAACACGTAGATTAAGCTGGCAAAATGTTTGATTTTCACTCGCAAATTAAAGTGTAAGTGTAATTGGTGTAAGCTCATGGCATAGGGACAAAATTTACATTGACACTTTTGTGTGTTTCTTAAAATTACCGAACTCTTCTTATCAGTCCATTTAGGGTTCCACAATATTCTACAACGTGAAATTACCTGAAGTACACTGAACCTACCCCACTTCAGTCTACTCGACTTTCTTGAGGACTTTTTTCCAAAAGTCACAAATGTAGCGAGGAAAGTAAAAGAAAAATTGGCGTTCACAGTTTTGAGTGTACTTTAGTTCCCGAATTTTGTCTTAACGGAAGTTAGTCGAACGCACCCCAAACACACTCACACACACTTTCCTTTTAGTCCGCTTTCTACTCCACAGTTCGCTACACTATAAGTTATGCCTACATGAAGCAACAGCACTCAAGGGAGAGCGATATGCCTGACAGCAACAAATACCGTCCCTTTTAGATCGATTACAAAGAGGGCGTGGTCAAAGTCAGCAAAGGAGGACAGGAGGAGGCTTTCTTGAACGGGGACGCCGGTGCATGTCATCAGCGGGTATACATTCCCAGGTGTGCATAGGTATCGGCTCTTGGAGTGGTGCAGATTATGGATACTGGATTTTTAACCAGAATTGTGAGTAAAAATTCAAGCGTCGGCAAGTACAAATTACTGGTAAAAAGAAAATCTTATCAAAAAGGCGTCAGTAAAATAGTATCCATACAGCCAAACAATGCAATCCCACATGACACATGGAATGTTCAGTCAAATTATGTGTGTATTTTGTTTAAACCTTTTGTGGGCTTTCTAATATAGCATACTCTACAATCAATTTGGTCGTTTTGACAATTTTTAGGACAAAGGATTTCAGTTTCTTTCCTCTGTCTTTCCTTTGAGTATTTCACTTGCAGTTACAAAATTAATTGAATAAATATAATCATAACATGTACCATTAAAAATATAATACATTATATCTTGATCATGGATACGAAGCATATAATTTTAAGGACTTTTTCAGACACTTTAAAAAGTTCCTCATAAAGTCTTGAATTTTTCAATGGCATAGGGTAAATTGAAATAGCCTTTGAAGGTAACTTGTGAGCTAAACTTCATCACTGCATTAGGCATGTGCAAATTTCTTCTGGATATCGTTTACACCTTTGGTCAGAAGCACAGTGTGTTAGAAAATAGTTGGTGTTGGCATAAGATAAAGATATATTTTAGTACTTATACATTCAACAGGGCATTGCATCTACTGCAAGTTCACTGCAAAATTTCAGTCTTAAAACGGTTCGAATTTGATATGTATGGAATCTAAATTAGCCTATGTTGACCGTCAACATTCAAAAAGGCTATATTGACATTCACGGTTCAATAGAACGGTCTATAACTGGCTGACGATGAATGCTTCGAGTGGTAAAATAAAACTTGCCTCCCGTGGTGATCCATGGAAAATTCTTCTTTCTAGAGGGGAATCCACTCTTCACCTGAGTAAATTAATTGCCTGTAACCTATAACTGTGAAAGGTTGCCGCCAAGTCCTGCACCCTACGAGGTCCATCACAAGTTTCAGATTATAGTTTGAGTGTAGACAGGTGCAGTGTCTCATCCAGTCGGAATGGGGCTGGGGAGTCACTCTGTGGAGACAGCTTGCCCTTTTTTTTTTACGTCAAAGATAGTCCTAGCACTTTCAAGAGAGGATTCTTCAACAGATTAGAAAATGGACAATCATTTGAGAAAAAGTCCCCTTTATACCCTCCCATTTTAAACCTGTTACACAACCGCATAAACAAGCAGACAAAACGACGGACGATCCAAATCTTGAAAAATTCATTGTTTCCTTCTGCCACTGGAGTTTTGAACTTATTATACTGTTAAAAATTTATTCGAAAATGATATATCCTATTATTTTTTGAAATAATTAAATGACCAGAAAGAGAAATCATGTAAGTCACATTTTCGCTGTCTCCTAAAATCCCCTTTTTTGAAGACACAATCTGAATAGTTTGGCAGAGTGGAATGTTTAGCTTATGATCGAATTTTATTTGTTCCTTTATCCACGTGGCAAATTTACATTTCCGTATAATAAACTTGTAACAATTGGAAATTTCACGAAATGTACAGGAATTACGACTTCGGAAAATAAATACACATGTACACATATCTTATATACAATTTTGCGACAACCATCCTCAAAATGAACAAGTGCAAAAGAATTATCAAGGTATACTACAATGAAAACTGGGTAGAATACTGTGCCATACTTAGCTTGGTAATTTAAAGTGACTGTTACACTATGTCTTAACCGAAGGGCAAATACATTGTTAATAATCTGGCCATGGTCGACGGTTTCGTTCAGTGACTGCTCAGCCTCATTTAAATGAAAATAAAGCACAATTACAGAATTATTTCTTTCATTGGACAAAAATAAAGATGTAGTTCTCTCACGGCTCAATGGTGAAATAAAGTGCTTTACAGGTCGATCTAACGGAATCAACTCGCACACGTGCGAGATCGCCCTTACAGCAAGGCTGTAGAGTGCGCATGTCAACGCACAGGCCGAATATTTTGGAGCAGGCGTTCACGGCCCTTTTGTTCAGTTTGATGAGTCTGCGTTGAAATGTCGAACAAGCTTATTATTTTGTACGGTAAATAAAGACACTTCTTGCCGAAGATTCTTGAACAGTATTGACTTTGGTTACTTAAAATCTTTCACAGATCATTATGGTTAAAGATTTAGGTTTTTCTGCGATTTGTCTTCCTAAATGAAAATGTATATTTACGAAAAATGAAAACCAGGTACTCAGGTAAAATGAGTTAAAATTGTACGTAACAGATATTTTGTTTATACACTTGATGTGATTGTTTAAGGTGATCCTTCGACGTAGATATATTTAAAGACATAACTTTGTACAGTTGTAGTTTTTTTCTACGAAAAGAGCCAACCTACGAGCTACGCATCCACAAGGACGTATCCAGAACCAAGTATTTGAGGGGCGGGAACTTATTTGGGGGTCCAAACATTAGTATGTAATCGTTGATGGCATTTCTAAGGAGTGGGAGTTTTTATAATTTCTGGAGAAGAAAATTACAAGCATCAGAAAAATTCGCCTCTCTTTACCATCTCCCAAAGGCTCTATGGGGGATGTCCTTTCACAGTCACACCAGTCAAATTGAATGTTATAGGCTAGAATCCATCTTGACATTCCAAATTTTCTTTTTTCAAACGAATACACCTTTTCACTTTCTAATAATTTGCTTGCAACCCTGTGATCCGCAGCCATCTCAACACTCTATTAACAATCGATCTAGAAATCCAGCGAAAACTTAACATCTGAGTTGACTGACTGTAACCTTTTAAGAACGTGACACGGTTTACGCTACCAATATCTAATCATTACGCATATTAAACGCATAACGTTATACCATTTTATGCACGTTGCTTATGACACCTTTTGTTTTTCTGCAGAAAATCAGTAAAACAAAAACAGTCAACAGAAAACAAAAACCAATCTTTTGTCCAAAGGACATTGGCCAGCCAATTATAGAATGCACTTTCTGTATTAACGTGCACCGTGAGACAGAACTTTTTAAAGCATGTCCATATGCATACGGCATTACAATTGTACTCCATCAGCTGCATTAGAATTTACAAACAATAATGTAATTCTATCATTACAGCTTCTTCCAATCGTGCCGATTCGCAAATGTTGCGCTTAATTAGCCACATTTTTTGTTACCCCCATCCATCATGTCCATAGGGTATCCAGTACATTCTCACTAAGCTTGAAGAGTGTAATTACAAACGATCAAATACTAAACTGGAGCAAAATGACCTCCTTAGACACCACGAGCATTTTCTGGCAGAACTGGTAACTTAACTCTTGATCGGGGGGGGGGGATTAATGTAGTCTCATTTTCCAAAAGCTCGAATCAGCAGTCTGTAGATATACTCACAACAAATTACAGTCTAAATTCATCAGGTTTTATTCATTAATCACAGTGCAACTACCAAGGTCTCAGTCTGAAAGACGAGACTAGTAAGCAGACTCAGGTTTTACCTGAAGTAAGCTTGGAGTTCCAAATTTGTAGTTAAAACCTATACGTGTGGCTTTCAGGTTTGGCACGATCAAGTGTAGCGATGGTAGCAGAGTAAACAGGATTTGTTCCTGATGGTGAAGCTTCATCAAGTAGTGGGTCCGTGTTATAATACCCGTCATCTTCAGCCATACCTGCATAGCTATCACTGTTGTTATTTACATTAAACGGTCGCTGTCCCAGCAGGACTACACCATTCATTACGGCCGTCTTCTCGTCGTTGTTGTTCCCGTGTATGTCAGCGTGTCCGTTCTGGTAAGTCGGGGCGTATGGGATGGAGTCCAAGTCCCGCTCCATCTCCGGCGTCGCGGTCAGAAAGACCCCAGAGTCACTGGAAGCTGGTGAGGACAGCTTGGTGGGCGACGATCGTTTGGCAATATCTACAGAGTTGGAATTGCTGGATTTAGACTTACTACTCCCTCGGCTGAAGAACAGCTTGGACTTTTGCGGCTTCTGTTGCGCCTGCGCGGTGACCTCTTCGGCCGAGACCTGGCGCGTGGCATTGACGGTCTGTTTCCTGGCAGGGTTGGCCCTGATCGGACGATCCAAATTCTCCTTTGCTGCTTTCTTAAGTCAGAAATAAGAGTTTGAATGAGGCATATACCAAAGAAATACTGTACAGACGTAAATATTTTCCGGTTTAGACAAGTTTGTAGCTTTAACTCAGAATTCTTAATTAACTGGATTGGGAATTCAACGGGCATGGGAAGACGGTTACTGTAATATCTTGAGAAAGGGACGAAGAAAATAACCTCACAACCTCATTTAACAAATAAGCACTGGTTCGCCTCGAACCCACGTTACAAGCAGTGAAAGACTCAGGATTAAATCAACGCAGCAATTCCATTTGTACATCTTCCCTTTCTGGTTCAAAGAATGAGATATCATTGCATATGTAAATGTCCAAAGGGCCTTCTCACCTTGTATTCGATACCAAACTGAGTAAAAACTTTGAAGAATTCACTGGGTTCCATTTCTTTATGTTTGACACCGAAAAGCGTACACAGGTGCTTGTAGGTGTCTTCCATGATCTTAAACCGTTCGGAGAGTTCATAAACTTTGTCAGAAGAAGCCTTGTAGAACTCCTGATGGACAAGAAAGTTACGATATTGTCATTTGGAACGCCTATCTTGAACTGACACCCATAAGAAAGAAGATCACAGTTTAAAGAAATGCTGCATTCGAGTACTGAGCTTCCAAGGGTTGACTCGGAGATCATCAACCTTGTCCCAAAAGTTTGCCCACAAGACACACGGCCATCTCCTGGTCAGAGTTGACCTACAGAATCCACAGTATACAAAATGTACTGTACACACAAAAGAGGTACATGGATGTCACTGACTTTAAGGCTACTCAAATTATGCATGCGCCAAGTGAACGGTTCGACACGCGCATCCACGAACTTACAAGAAGTACCACACAATAGATTTGGACTGCGCTTTCTGAACTTGGTGCTAACTGTCCCAATCAAATCTCAAGTAAAAGAATACTCGCGGTGCTTCAAAGCTACGAAAAAGCATCATATCAAGTTTATTTTTGTGATAATTCACGGATCAATGAGGGAAAACATTCTCACGTCAATGATTGGGTTGTTCTGCTGACGATCTCTCTCAGATTTGGCCAGTTCAAGTCCTTTCCGAAGCCCGTGAATGTCCATGGTCAGAGATTCCAATGATGCTTGGGGAATTAAAACAGCAACATAGGAGATCATGATTATAGTAACTACCATAAATGACATCTTTGCAGAATAACAGTAACAAAACTCTCCAATCTCCATACCAGTATTCACAAAATTGCATCAATGAAAGCGACAATATCTTGGGCAAGGAACACATTGTGTCATCCCAAAATATTCGGCCTACTCGAACGATGCAACTGCAGGACCATTTATTTTACTGTA